TTTGCGAAGATAACTCCGATACGCGTATCGAAACTGCGCGTGCCTGGTTATATACGCTACAATTTATACACACATCTACACAGGCGTAACGAAGAATTAGATTAGGTGTATTTTCCGACGCGAGAACGAGTGTGCATTTTTCAAAAAGCTCCCCCGCGCTTTAATTAACACATTGAATTCTATTTAGAAACGAGCTCGGCTGGAAGCTTAACTCAATACAGTTCTTTAGTTCTTTGTTTTAGAAGCTCTAAAAATGGATGCATGTACTCGAGGCGCAGCACAGGAGCAGTGCCAGTAGAAACGTTTGTGAAATGATCACTGCTGACAGGGGCATAAGAGAGTAGTTAACGCTCGTATATCGTGACCGCGCAGTAGCTGTATACATATATACCGGGCCACTGCTGCGTGCTCGTATAGAATCTCAAAGCTCGTACTCAGCTCTACTCTGCCGAGCTAAGCGCGCGGCGCTCGACTCGCAAAAGCGAAAGAGGATCGTGAATGTGTATACGAGTACGTATAAACATACGCACGCTGCAGACATACACACACACACACACACACACACACACACACACACACACTGTGTTAGCATGGAATGGCTGACTTGTGGTTTCCATAAACCGAAGGCAGTTAATGGTTTCTTGCGGCGTGTTGAAACAATTCACATTTCGGTCGGGTTTTTGGCCATTGCCGGCGTAAGCAATCGAGCGCGCCTATCGTACGCCTAAAGCTAAAGCGCCCGTGTATCGATAAACGATATACTTTTGTGTATTACGAGAGATAAAATGACGTGTGTGCTTTGTGGATATGTATAATAATAATTTAAAAGTGCAGTATACTAGACATTTGCCCGCGATATGCCCATATTTTTAATAAAGCCACGCCTATGTATATGGCAGGCGGTATTTCGAAAGGATTACGCGCGGACAGTGCGGCGGCAGCGTTTGCAAATGTCAGTGCACCGCCGACTATATACTAATGCTGAGTTAGAATCAACAAATTTTACCAAAGTTTTAAGTACGCGTGTCAACACGGGCGCGAAGCGAAATATGCCGGGCTCATCATTCGCCGGGACTCGCGCGCAACGCCCGCGACGCGGAATATTAAGGCCGGAGTTTATTCAACGCGCTCATATGCAGACGGGGGAGAATTTTAGGAAGTGAAATTGAGATGTGGAAAATCAGCAGTGCGCAGGAAGAGAGTGAGCTGTATATTGCTGTATGCATACCGATGTATATATAGCGAATGCTCGGCTTCGCTCTGTATACATGTATAAGCAAGTTGAGAGGGAGAGAGAGAGAGAGAAAATTTCGTATATAGTTCGAGACGACTAATTGAAGTTAGAAGCCGACTATAATGGCCTGAATATAATGGCGATCTAACTGCCGCGGCTAAATAATTTAGTTACAGCGCAGTTGAATTGCCAAGGAGTTGCAAACAAATTATGCTTTAAACTAAATTTCTGCCTTGTTGTATAGCTACATAGCGCCATTTATGATTGCCCGCCGTAAACGTCCTATACGCTATGGCGATGTATCGAAAATGGCCTAAATGCATATTAGCGCGTGGCGCAACATGCACTTTGCACTCAGCGCGAGCTATTTGCAAGATGAAGCTCGGCATAAAGCGCACAGCTCCTGATGCAAGTATATATACGATATACGCCGCGAATCAATCTTCATTCTCTCGTCGACGATCGAGCTTGTGCAGACGCGACGCGACGTCGAGACGTGAATAAAATAGCTCGAGTGCGGTCATCGTTCGCTGCGATCCTTCGTTAGAAGCGGAGCGTCGGCGGCGAGGCGGATCGTTGCTCTCGCAGCTCGCCTCCTCCCAGCTCGATCGACGAAGATTCGCCCGACGCGAAATGTCAGCGCGCTCGAGCTCGCTGCCGTTGTAAGCTTGCGGGCTTGCCAGCGCGCGGCGGACGATGAAAAATGACTGAAAAGTCTTGTTCCGCGTGAAGTATGAACAATGCGATGAGTAGTGCTCGGAGTCGGAGCAGAATAAACGCGCGGACGACGTTGAACGAGCTCGTCGTTTACTTATAGATTTTCGGTCCAAGAAATGGTTGATTATTTATGTTTTTTATTCGCTTCGATATTTTCGCTACTTCGCTTGAGAAATCTAAAGTATATGACGTGCGAATTTATTATTTATGTAGCACTTTAACACCCGTGGAAATCTTTTAAAACCAAGAATCGTCGTGTGCGCAACAAGGCCTACGCAACGACAGTTTGCAGTATTTTACGTTGTTCGGATAACAGGTCAAACTAAACAAAAACCATGATAAATAAAGTGAAAAAAGAAAACAAAACAAAAAAATAGCTTGAAAAAAATTCGTTCTTTTTTTTCACCTAACTATAGCAGCAGCCACAGCGGCAGTAGCAACAGCAGTTGTATCGAGTGTCTTCCGGACCACTGCTGAAAGTTACGCACACAGCTGTATTTTCATTTTGATACGAGGAACGGTGGTCAGTTGCAGCAACAGCAGTACGCAGTTCCATCGCGCGCCCCCGATAAATATATATCTATATGCATACAATAGAGGTAGATTTATCCACACACACCCACACAGATGCGTACTCACGTAACGTAGGCGATGTAGTATAGAGCACCCACGAGAGAGAGAAGATACGTGTGTATGTGTATAAAGAAATACGCGGGCGCGCGCGCGAGAGCGAATATATAAAGGGAAGAGCGCGGGTAAAGGGGGGAGGCAACGGCAGCAGCGGGAAATCCGGCCTGCGCACTGGACTGCTAGCGGATTTCGAGAGGTCCAAAGCCATTGTGCATGCTTGAATAATTGTTATGTAGATTCAATTGAACCGTGAGCGAGCGAGCGAGCTGTGTGCGCCGTGGCCGGCCGCGTACACGAGCCTACAGGGGCCGCTTCGTCGCGTTTTAAGCCTAGGTCCGCGCAGATATCGCACTCCCACGCGTGCAAGCACACGCATACACGCATACATGTACGCACATTTTATCCGCAGCGCAGTGAGCAACCTCGCTCGTACTCGGTACTATTTGGCTTTTCCAAGCAGACAGCCGGACAGAGAGAGAGAGAGAAGCGCATTTACAGCGAGATAACGCATTTAGCCAGTTCCTAGGCGAGCTAGCTCTCTTTTCTCTCTCTCTCTGGACGTGCTACGTGATGTGGCCGCGTGCCTATTCCTGCCCGTGCCTGGCACCAGCTGATATAGAAAAAAAACAAATTAGCCGAAAAATATATACGAGCGCGTCTCGATAAATTTCAATTTATAGGAAAGCGATTTGTTGTAAGGAGTCCTCGGCGTGTGCGTATATTTACTTTTTTGCACAAAATACGCAATCAACGTGAACGAGAGCGAATAGTAGCGGAGTACATATATACGCGGTCATTGGACTTTTTTCCCAAGAGTATCATTGAATAAATAAATTATTCGACGAATGAATCACCGACTGGGAAGCTCTAGCTAGCCCCCTTGCGCTAGTCCAACTGCTGCACGCAGGATAAATTATGCTTTAGATATCGGATTAGTATTATCGTATATATATGTATAGCGGCGAGGCGCGCGTATATATAACCAGGCGGCCGATAACAAAAAGCGTACAGAAAATCGCCGGGGCAGGTGCAATATGTGGTGAGTTCAACATCGGGCTTCTGGATTTATTGTACGTGCGGTGCTACGTATTATATGTATATACGACGCGACGATATTACTACTGCAGGCAGGTACTCTCGAACTATCTCCGGCACAGGCTGGACGACGACGACGACGAGCGACGACGACGACGAACGGCAAACGACGAGAGAGGGTGAGAGGGTGAAAGAAGAAAGGTATATAGCGGGGGGAGGAAAGGAGGACGTTACACACGACGAGGACGACGACGACGACGATGGAGGGTATATCTCTTATCGACTACAGAGCTCGGGAGCCGCTATATATATTGCGATAGAGGTGAAGGAGGAGGAGGAGGAGGAGAGGGAAAGGAGAGTCCTAGTCTAGCCACGTTTGCCTTATCTTACCTTAGCGCGCGCGCGCTTTACGTCTTCGCTCGCGAGGGCAAACTTATACGAGGCTGCACTGCTCGCATATATCGTCTGCAACGGCGCAGAGCTAGCTCCAGTCAGGCAGGCAGGCAGGCGCGCCCACGCCTAGGCTATGCTCCATCTCTCTCTTCGGTATAAATGTGCTTTATAGCTAGCTCGCTCGCTGGCGCTTACTATCGTTTCACAGGACGTGAGCCCCATCATTGCCAACTATATGTACGCATATTTTTGCCGTTTCATTACTCGTAAATCGCTCGAAATTCGCTCGCTACGTTTTTACAATGGAAAAAAATACCTGCGCCGCGCGTACGAGAAAGAAAGCTGCATATAGCACGTGCATGCATATAGTTGAGTTATCTGGATGAGTGCAGTGCGTGCACGGTTATGTGTGTTGCAGTACCTGCACACCGGGTGAATCATAATTGAAAGACCAACAAACTGAATATGACGCTGGATTTAACAAATTGAAGGGAAACATCTCACGCTGCACGATATACTGGGGAGCTAGATCAGAGACCAAAGAGAAGGAGAGACTAGGGAGAGAGAGAGAGAAAGAGAGAGAGGCAAGCCTGGCAGCAAAGTTTTTAATGTAAAAGTTCTCAATATACAGTTCAAGTGTCGAGTTTGTGGAAGTTTTTAGCATTGACATTAATTTGGCCCGAGTGGTCCCGATAAGTATAGACTTACGAAAATAACGGGCTCTAGAAGATTTAACAAGCTTGTACAAACTTTCTGTTTATATGCGCCGAGCGCGTAGCTTATCGCCGCGTTGCTGTTGCTGCTGCTGCGTCGCTGCCTCGATGCAAAATGAAAAATTGTTACACTACGTAATTGCCTTTCTAGCCTCCCTATTTTCATCTCTTCCATTTCTATTTTTTTTCTTTTCGTGCTCTCGTCTTTTTTTTTTACACTCAAAATTTCAAATCCCATGCGCTCGTTGAGTAATTTCGTTCTCCTCTGTGTGTTGCAGGCCATAAGCAGCAGAAAGATTCCACGGAATCCTCGAAAGCAAGTGAGTACATACTTCGTCTATTTATATACATACACACACGATATATCTCGCAGCTTATACGAGAACGACGAGAATGTCACAAAACAAAGTCGAGCTACTGGGCCACTGCTGCACTACACTATTATACTGGAGCACATATAAACGTGTATAATGTATATATCTATATGCGCGCTCGTGTGACAGTAGATACTTTCTGTGCACTGGTGCAGTTTGTCGTGCGCAAAGTATAAACAAAAAAAGACGAGCTTGCAGCAGTAGCACATGCTAGCAGTATATGCACACATATATAGAAGTACGCATACGTCCCAAATCGGCAAAACATTGCGCGCATTATGTGCAGTTCTCTCGCCAGCAGCAGACTCCACACACACACACACACACACGATACAGTCCGGGAGCTACTAGAGTGTGTATATGGGTCAAAATAATACTTTTTTACAAAACCGTGCGCACGTATGTCACCGATTTTGACGCGCTTTTGGTATGTTATAGTACATGGTAAAAAGGTCCCAAAAAAAAATTTTTAGACCCCCTCCCCCCTCCTACCCCCCACTTCCGGTATAAACGTCCATTTTCGATCTATATTTTTTCTGAGGACATGAAGCAAGTAAAAAATCTGAAAAAATTCATAAAAATACTTTTCCACAATCCAAACAACCTTGAATTTTTTCAGATTTTTTGAGTGCTTCAGGCCTTCAGATAAAATCATTGAAAATTTCAAAAATCGAGATACGGCGGTATGAGCCGATGTAGTACTCGGAAATTTTTTCAGTTATTTTTCGCATTAAAAAACATAACCTCAATTTTTTTCAGATTTTTTCAGATTACCTAACGCACCTTTTGAAGCCAAAAACCGATTTTTTTGACGAAAATAATTTTTTTAGGACAGTACGGAGCCTCGAAAAATCTGAAAAAAATTTTTTCTTGTTTTTTTCATCAAAATACGTAATCTCAAATTTTTTCAGATTTTTTAATTGAAGGCGATAGCTTCTAGGGCCGAAAAATGCTATTTTTAACAAAAAATGGTTCCTAGAACCCGATGGTTCCGGTGAAAAAATTTGAAAATATTTTTTTTGAATTCCTTGTCAAATTTTAATAAATTTTGACCGTTTCAAAAGTTCGATTGAAGCTTCCTAGCTCATTTTAGAGCATCAAACGAGTTTTATCATTCCTTAATGTCTTCAGAAACGTCTTCAGATATTTTGCACTAATCTTTGTCCTGCTCTAAAATGAGCTAGGAAGCTTCAATCGAACTTTTGAAACGGTCAAAATTTATTAAAATTTGACAAGGAATTCAAAAAAAATATTTTCAAATTTTTTCACCGGAACCATCGGGTTCTAGGAACCATTTTTTGTTAAAAATAGCATTTTTCGGCCCTAGAAGCTATCGCCTTCAATTAAAAAATCTGAAAAAATTTGAGATTACGTATTTTGATGAAAAAAACAAGAAAAAATTTTTTTCAGATTTTTCGAGGCTCCGTACTGTCCTAAAAAAATTATTTTCGTCAAAAAAATCGGTTTTTGGCTTCAAAAGGTGCGTTAGGTAATCTGAAAAAATCTGAAAAAAATTGAGGTTATGTTTTTTAATGCGAAAAATAACTGAAAAAATTTCCGAGTACTACATCGGCTCATACCGCCGTATCTCGATTTTTGAAATTTTCAATGATTTTATCTGAAGGCCTGAAGCACTCAAAAAATCTGAAAAAATTCAAGGTTGTTTGGATTGTGGAAAAGTATTTTTATGAATTTTTTCAGATTTTTTACTTGCTTCATGTCCTCAGAAAAAATATAGATCGAAAATGGACGTTTATACCGGAAGTGGGGGGTAGGAGGGGGGAGGGGGTCTAAAAATTTTTTTTTGGGACCTTTTTACCATGTACTATAACATACCAAAAGCGCGTCAAAATCGGTGACATACGTGCGCACGGTTTTGTAAAAAAGTATTATTTTGACCCATATATATAATTCTCGTCGTCGAACACACTATACACCTGGCAGTTGGCAGTGATGAATATCTAAATGGTCTCTCTCGCTCGCACTCGCACTCGGGCTGGCATGCGACAAGCGTATAATATGGTCTCTCTCTCTCGCACTTTTTGAAGCTCCCCCAGCAGCATCAGCAGCAGCAGCACTCGTCGCGCTTTCATTCTACAACCCTCCCTCCCCTTCCTCTCTCCCTCACGACCAAATCCCCAAGGGTTGGTTGTTTTTATAAAATGCCAGGCGCGCGCGCTCGCGCAATATTGTTGACTGCAAAAAGCCAGCGCGACGAGGTAAAATCGTGAATTAGCTCGGCGATGGACCATAAATCTGACTCGCCAACTACCACCACCACTACTATGCACTCGCACGTGTGGCGCCTGTAAACACGGCGCATTAACGACTGCTGCAAGGCCGGGAAAACTCGATATACCCGCGGCTCGACCAAATATGTATGCACGCGTACAGTTCGTCCGCGGCGCACTCGCGTATCTTTTGACTGCACGCGATGATATCGCTCATTTATAAAATTCGCTGCGTCAAATAATATAAAATCCGATATACAAGAGCATTACGTGTGTGTGTGCATGTAGTACGCGAGTGCGGTGGTGCGCACGCCCAGAACCGTAGCCGGTGATACGATAAAAATCACGATAATGTAACGGGCCGCCGAGCGAGTACGTGAAGTTTTTATTCAATCGACCACTTGGCACTTGTCCATGTAATAATTTAGCAAATAAGCGGCTCGCGAGTGCGCATATATATGTGCGAGTGCGCGCAATGTGCATGTGTACCTCTTTCGCGTAATTACGTGAAATATGAAGTATACGCGATATTTTTCCGATTTCACCGACGAATTATATATATAAACGCGAGTTCGTTTTTTCCCTACAGGGCCTTTGCCCTTCTCTGCATCCCGTGCTTCGCTTGTAAAGCGAGCGACGTGTACCCATACCTACCTACCGACCCGAGCTCTTCATTTTCGACTCGACTGCAAATAACATTAAATCGATCGAACTTTCGGAAAATACGAAAAGTTTGGCTTGAAACATTTTTTACTTTTGCCCGGCGGATAGTATGGGAAACTTTTAACGCGTTGCAGCGAGAAAGAAAGAGGAGAGGCAGAGCAAAAAATTAGAGCCTCGGGCTCATAGAAGTTGAGATGACAGGTAGTTGCTGGGAGGCTGCTGCGAGGCGCCTCCTGAAGAATAGTTAAAGAAAGAAAGAAGAAGCATTTTCTGTTTAGAACAAAGTCACGAAAGTACATACATAGCACTGGAAGCAAGGCAAGGGACGAAATTCTAATATATATTTTATAAAATACAGCGGATCGAGAGATAAAGGCAAATTTTAATAAGCGCGCGGGAGGAGATGCAATTTGCAATACGTCGCGAGCGCGCGCGCGAGAACAAAAGTGAGACGGAGAGGACGCAATTTTTCTATTTTATATAAGCGCACGCGCCTACATAAAAATGAATGTGCGCACTTTACACAATTCTTTTGTGCTTTAGACGCGCCCGCGCGCATTACACGCCGAGCAGAGAGAAAGAGAGAGTCACGTCTTTCTGCGAGGACTTTATGTACGGCGTGTATACGTCTCTAGGCGAAGGGCCCACGGAACATACTTACTCTGTAATTCCGAAGGAAACTTTTTCGTGCGCGCAAAACTTTTTTAAAAGGGCAAAAGTCGCCTCTGTCCTACTCTCTCCCAGCTCTCTCTCTCACTCCAGATGTAAATATGATAACCCCATTTATTCATCAAGCTCGCGTGTAAGAGTCACTGTCGCGCGCAGCTTCACGGAAGAAAACTAAATTAGCCATTTTACGGATTCTTCAAAGTATAAAAGTATGTAAGAATAATTTCGCTCGTTTTTTTTTTTTTGCGAGCCCGAGGCTAGCGCATAACGCGATATTCCACGAAGCGTAACTCGATTTCGGGCCTCGACATGTTTTTCTCTCTCTCTTCCGCGCGCCACCGCACACAGCAGCACGCGTATACAAACTCCGTATTCGTATTAGGCACGCATCGCTACGAATATAAGCTTCTTACAGATTCATAGCTAGGGAATTATTGCATCGTGCGGTATATAATTAATCGTGAAAAAAGCATCGAAGCGCTTAGAGTTTGACGTTCTGCTGCGCGCATCAAAAAGCTATACACGCATCGAGCTGCTCTAGCTGTGTAGAGCTGAGTCACGCGGCAATTAATCCTGTCAAATGACAGCACAGCGCTGCGCAGCTTTTGCGACGTGTGCGAGCGAGCGCAATCAAAAAGTGACAAAGCAAGGGGAAATTTGCGTTTGATTCGAAACGGATATCTGTACTGCAGTGGGAATCAGAACACATACACAGAGACAGAGACAGAGGGAGAGAGAGAGAGGAAAAGAGAGATAGACGCGCGCGCACAAGAGAAGAGCTTATATTTGACGCGCTGGTGAAAGTTTAAATTATCTTGTCACGTACTGTGGATACTATATAATACGAGCGAGACTGCGTCAAATCTCCGGGGAGTGTAAGAGCGTGGATTGGTCGAGTCTGATTAGTTTGGCGTTGGTGTCTTTCTACGAACGTTGCCATGCGATGTGGACTCGACTCGCGGTGAGCTTCGCATTCGCACATACACACGTGTACGACGACCCCCAAGCAGCATCAGCATGATGACACAGACACACACACACACACACTCCCACATGTCCAGTCGAGTCTTTTATATACGTGTGTGTCTGTGTGGGATACGCGAGAAAGCTAGAGATGCGGAGGAAGAGCGAGAAAGAGAGAAAAATAGTTTATAGACGCTTGGGGAAAATACACAAACGCCTCGGAGAGAAAACAAGCTCGAGGGCCAAGAATTTCTTTGAGAGTGCGAGAGAGGAGAGTAGTTGCGTGCACAACACATACACGACCAAATCCTACATGTATACACCATCCCGCCGCCGCCGCCCGCACCGCACCAAGTTTTTCCGCTCTGTGCCGTGAACGCGCGATTTCCTTTCCTCTCTGCCCTTCTTTTCCTTTCATTT